CTTTAAAAAATTTGACAATCAACAATTACTTCTGTATAATCCTACAATATAAACAAAAAATGTCTAATTATACTAGCCTCTCTTTTTTAACACATATTTCAAACTACAATATTAATATTAATAACCTAATTAATAATATATTAAAAATTTAATAACTAATAATTTATTACCTTCAGTCTAGTCATCAATCTAACTAGAAAATATTAATTTATTTACTAATATATTTACATTAATTTCAATACTATCTACAATCACTAAAAAAAATAATTAAACAATTCTTCCTCCACATCTAACCTACAAATAGAAAATTTTATTTCTATAACACAAAACAACTTTCTTTTTGAAAACTACCTTATTCTTCAAAAATCTCCTGGTATTATAACCCTTCAACTTTCCTTACAAATATCTCAAATCTTCTTCACATCCACAATTAACTTTCTTTGTAAAAGTTAAAAAGAAAACAAACTTACAAACTCTCAATTAATTATCAAGAAATATTATTATTATTACAAATTTTTTCTTCTTTATACTAGCCTATTTATTATCTTAGAAAATACATATATTTAAATATAAAACTTAAATACTAAATATATAATTAACTCTATTACTATTCTAGCATATCAAACAGAACTTATTGTCATAGATTAAAATAAAATCTGATCAAAATGAAACTAGGGATTTCTCATACTTACCCTTAGAGTCTATAAAACCTATATATACTTATTTATTAATAAACCTAATCCTAAATCCTACTACTAATGCTAAAAAGAACACCAAAAAATGTTTCTCAAAAATTTTTAAATTTTTCTTAAAAAACAAAAAAATTTCGTTTTGATCAGATTTCGTTTTAATCTGTGATATTTATTAATATTTATCAACAAATACAATTAATTCTATTAGAAAACCTTCAGTGTTATATAGATGCATTAATTTAAAATATCCAAATACCAAATCTTCAAACTGGTATTGGTTAGATTTTAGAAAATAATATCAAAAAAATAATATTACAAATGCTCTAACACTATAAGAGCTAATCTAGCATTAATCATATTTATACTTCTCTTTTTATCACAAAACTTATATATATATATTCATTGTAATAACTCTTTTACAATTCAAATTCTTAAAAATTTATCTTACTACCACTCTACACAAATCAAAATTGAAAACTGGAATTATCTACATATTATTAACAATTTTTTTCAAAAGAAAAATATATTTTTTATTATATATAAAGTTAAAGTATACTCTAAAAATGCTTTAAATCAGAATGCAGATATTTTCGCAAAAAGAGATACTAACAGATAATCTATTGAACTTTATCAAGATCATTTAACATTTCTTTTTTTTCATGATACAATACTTCACTGACTTTACAAATTCGTAAATTTACAAAAAATTTAATTTTTATTAAAACATTTAACAAATTTCTCCAACTCAAAAACATCTGTAATATTCCTCAATTTAATATTAAAACTTTTACATCATTAATTCTTATAATTACAAACCCAACTTATTCTTTCTACATATTAAAATACTACTAAACAACTTACCTACAATATCAACCTTTATCTTTATTACCCTTATCTTTATTTAACTTCTAATTGCACTCAATATAATCAACTTAAAGACACTTTACACCTGCTAAATTATTATCAAGCACTTTTTGATTCATATCAAATACTTAACTAATATATAATTCAAATAGTAACAGAACTCAAAATTGAAAATACAAATTCTTTAATAATAACAAATATACTATTTAATACAAATACTCATAATATATATCTCAAAACTTTCTTTTCCTTATATAAGAAACAATTTTTTTTTATATTACTGACTAACTACAACTTATTTTAATAAAAATACTACCAACTTTTTGTCTTTATCTCTTTAATAATCTTTTTTCTTGGTTTAACTTAAACATCTGACAAATTAGAAACCAATTTCAATATAACTGGAAAACTTCAAGAAATATCACACTTAAATCTAAATGAACTAAATTTTTTTTATCAGATACTATTACTAAAACCTTGATAATAACAATTTATAATCACAATATTGATTTATTTATTCAAAAATAGCATAACTAAAATTTTTATATTTTTTATATTTTTATTAATCTTATACTTTAACTATTAGATCTCCTTTTTTCTCTTCTATAACTAATGATAGCTAGTCTTAAATTAGTTTATAAATAGAAAATTAAGTGGTGGTTTGCTATACTTAGGTGGTTATACAAGATATAATAGATAGTTAAAAATTAATATCATTTTGATACAAATCTATAACTAATCTTATAATATATATAGCAAATTCAAAAAAAAAATAAGCACAATTTTTATATAAGCATATTTTGAAAAAATTTATTATGTGCCTAACTGAGTGATTTTATGAAAAATAACTATAATAACAAAAAGATAAAAGATGTGATGAGCATAAGTATAGCTAGATATAATAATAATAAAAAGCTAAAAATTTAAATAGTAGATGAATAAGATATATATAGACTAGTATATGAACTTTGTTTAGAAAAAGCTTCTAGATTTGATGATCAGTTTTCTGTATTGTCTGACATAATTAGTAAAAGACTGATTATAGAGTTAGTCTAGTATAATAAATTATATCTGAGCATCTATATAAAGATAATCAGATAAATTAAGTCTTATATTATCATGCTTTTCAAATTACTGTGTTTGCTGATTTTTATATATCACACTGAGAATCAGAAATCTAAAAAAAATATCAATACGTAATTGGCTAAAAATTATTTTAACCAATCACAGATTTGTATTTATTCTAGATTTCTGATTTCTGGTGTAATGTATAAAAATCAATGGACACAGTAATTTGAAAAGCACAATAATATATATATACATAATCTTGTAATAGGTTAAATATAGTAATATATATAAATTTGCTAACAAATATTTAATAAAGTCACTGGTGAGATTACCAAAGTCTAAAAATATATATATATATTAAGTATTTACTATATTATTACTATTATAAAATATCTTAAATAGTTTAATTTATATATTTATTTTTAAGCAAAATAGTAATATGGTACAGGAAGTCTATATTCAACAGTTATACGAAGTGTTTCAATTTTTTAAATAGCTATAACTTTTATCTAAGAGGTTTTAAAAAAATCTAACTGGTAACTTTATAGAGCCATATTAGCACTACATATGTGCCAAATATCTTTTCAAAATCTTATCACTATAATGAGTTGAAGCATTTTAAAAATTGAAATTTTATATATAAATTTGCAAATTTATATATAAAATTTCAATTTTCAAAATACTTCAACTCATTACAGTAATGAGATTTTGAAAAGATATTTAGCACATATGTAGTGCTAATATGGCTCTATAAAATTACTGGTTAGATTTTTTTAAAACCTCTTAAATAAAAAGTTATAGCCATTTAAAAAATTGAAATACTTCGTATAACTGTTGAGTATAAACTTCCTGCACCATAGCTAAATTTGTTTATATTAAAACTTTTTATTATATTTAAATAATTTATAAATATAAAATTTAAAGCTTATATATAAATATATATTTAATTTATTAATTATATATTGCTTTTTTAAAATAATATATATACTGTAATATATTTTATAAAATGAAATTAATTTTTAAACCAAATTTATAATTATTATCACAAATTGTAAAAATTGAAACTGCAATATTTTATATATGATTTTAAAATATTTTTGGTCTTTTTATCAGCTTTTTTTATAGTTAAGTTAGAATTTAGATATAAAATTATTAATAAAAAGTATAGGTGGATTTTGTTAAAGCTTATATTTTTAAATCAAAACCTCAAATTTATTTCACAAAAATTATAATTCAAATTAATTAGTCCAGAAGAAATTTTTATAATTTTAGCTAAAATAATTACTATTTTCTAATATTTGTTTTAATCTTTTTATATATGATATCTTTATAAAATAATTAAATAAATATAAATTATTAAAATTCAATTATAAAATTTTAAAAATATTAAAGATTTGTATATATTTTAAAATTACAGATTTATTAATTTAAAAATAAAATATAATAAATCTAATAGTATATTAATTTTAAAATTTTGTAATTAGATTTAGTAATTTTATGCTTATTAAAATTATCTTATTAAGATGAATTTTTTTGTAATAAAATTATTTATTCTAAGTATATATTTTTTAATAATATTTTATTTATATTTTATGATCTAACAATTAGAGTTGAATGAATTTGCATTATTAGATTTGGTTTAAAATATTAAAAACAATTACTAGATCTTGAAATATTAAAATCACCATAATATCTTCATCTAATATATACGTATATACCGTAGGTATATAGTATAGTACAGTATTTATATAGCGATAGATATTAATTTATTTTTAATTTGAAATCTGAATACAGTATATCGGTATAAATATAAACCAACTTTTATAAAACAAAATTTGTTTAAAATAATAATATTAGTTTTAGAATTAAGGAAAATATAAAAATTAATATTACCAAAGTTCAGAGTTTACACAACATTTATATTTTTAAATTATTAAATTTTTTTAAAGATTTATGCTATTTTCTAAGGCAATAAATATTTTCAAGACGCATCTGAGTTGAGTGCTTGGGATTACATTAAATCGAAGGAATTGAAGAAATGAATTGAAGAAATGAACAAAATTATTTTACGTAATCATAAATATTAATAGTATCGTTAATAACACGTAATATAATGATGTTATTGAATTTAGCTTACCGGGGATAGGAGTAAAACGTCATTAAAATATTAGCATTTCCAAGTTATTTGTATAAAAAAATTAGTTTGTTCCATATAACATTATTCTGAAGTAAAAAAAAAAAAAAAAAAATTTTTTTTCTTTTTTTAATATTTCTTCAAGCTTTTTTTTTTTATTAATAATGATTAGAGTTAAAAGAACAGATGGAGTATCCAAACATGAAGTTATCGAATTAAGGAAAAAGTTAAGAGGGTTAATAAAGACACAAAATACTAAACCGATAAATGGAGTAATGCAGTTTGTAGCGTTAATCGATGAGAGTTTCAAGTGTTTAGAGAAGCAAGGGTTTCAGTATATTCAAGGTCGAACACAAGGCCAATTTCACCTTATTGATAACGTAAAAACGGAAGCCATGCTTGTTGAGATTACGGATAATGAACCAGATGAAATAAGACCAAATTTTGAAAAACGAAATAGGAATGAAAAATTATATGATTTAGAAGAATTAGATGATGCGGCAAGAACAGCGATTGTATGGAAAGATAGAAGACTCGAAATTGAGAAAGAAACAACACATAATAAAATCAATTATTGGAACAATCAAGACGGAGAAGTTATCGACGAAGAGGATAAAGAAGATGTAATTAGCTTGGATGCATCAGAATTCGATTTCGACGACGAAAAATCATTGGGGATAGGATATGAAAAGATGGAATGGATATAGTGAAAAAACTGAAAACATTTTTTTTTCGGCAGATATCACACTAAATTAATATTTTAATGTGATTACATTAGGGATCATTCGATCCATAACCAATTCATTATAGTTTAAACAACAGAAAATTTAGCAAGCCAATTTACGCAATACGCAAATATATATATTTATTATTAACAAGACTTATTAGAAGTTATTCATATATGTACACATCATATTACTCAGTTAAGCGTGTTCAGTAAGCAAATAGTACGAAAGCTAAATCAAGCTAAATCAAGCGAAGAGCAAGCATTACTTTTAACGGCTTGCATCTTTAACACATTTAATACTACGCAGAATTAATAAGAAATATTAATAAAAGAGAAGCTAGTATAATTAGACATTTTTTGTTTATATTGTAGGATTATACAGAAGTAATTGTTGATTGTCAAATTTTTTAAAG